AGCTGAGCTTTGTACCAGGTTCTCTTGAGACTGGTTCATCACAAGCTGTCAAAAGACAAGGGTGTTGTGGTAGCAGTGCTCACAATAACCCTGAAGTGGCGATGTTCCCAAACACCTCCAGAGAACTGACAGGCAGTTAGGAAGGTAAGAGAGTCACACGTTGTTATGAAACAGTGATGAAAATGGCCCTCCGCTTCACACAGCCATTTGGGTGAATCTTCCAAAGCTACACCAGAAAAGCCAGTCCTGAAGCCCGACTGTGTTGCAACTCCAGTGACACAGGTCAAAAATAGCAAAGCTAATGCATGCTTCTAGAGGTCAGGGTAATTAAGGTAGGGTGAGGCTTAGCAGCAGGGAGGGACTTGTAGAGAAGCAGTCACGGACTATTTCTTGGCCTGGTGCTGGATATGGGGAAAAGTCTATGGAAAACTCATTCAACTATTCATGTATGTACCTCTTTCTGAGACATAATGTATTTTAACATTTTTTAAATAAAATATCTAGCACATGTGGGGGGGGGTTATATGGAAAACCATTTGCAAGATATTTTCCATGTGGAAAATGATTATTTGAGGTCATTGAGTTGTTAACTATTTGCCTACTGGCTACTCAGTTATTGAATATTAAGTCCCACCCTAAGCCATCAAAGGTTGAGGATCAATATCACACACATATTAATAATAGTATGGGCTAGAAAGATGGCTCAGTGGTTAAGAGTGCTTATTGCTCTTCCAGAGGTCCCAGTGTCAGATCTTAGTACCCATGTTAGGTGGCCCATAATTGCCTGTGATTCCAGCTCCAGGATAATCCAGCACCTTTTTCTGGCTTCCATGAACATACATGTGGTATACATACTCAAACACAGAAATGAAAACAAATCTTTAAAAAAAATAATAGTAGCACATATCAAAAGCACATGACAAGTCTTCAGCACCTCATTCAATGCCTCACAGTGATTCCATGAGGTACAAAACTGTCACCCAGTTTACACATGAGATTTCTGAAAGAGAATGTTATTTGCCTAAAGTCACACAGAAAGGAACTGGCCATGTCAGCCCTATCAACCCTATCAGTCACATGCAGGCAGCAGGATTCCAAAGCTCACACTCTTAACCCTTCTAGCACCCTCCTCCAGCCCTTCCCTCCCACCCAAGGGGAATATGATGAAATCCAGGTTGAGGTGAATTGAAAAGCTCAAACAAGGAAGTGTGGACAGCTCAGAGATGAGAAGAGAGCCAAAGAACTTCTTGTCTCCATCTTTCAATTCAAACTCCCTAATCCGAAATGCTTCACCGGGGATTTGCAACCCTAAACGCCATGTTCCTGAACATTCCACTTGATAGCCTTTGGTTTATAGGGTTCTTCCTGCTCTTGAGTCAAAGAGCAAACACAGGAGGTCTAGGCTGCCTGTTTCCCTGGGGACAGCTTTTGTCTGCATTCCTCCTGGGTTATCTTGAGGTCCCCATCAAGATGCCTCCTTGGTATTCTCCAATACTGCCTTCGTTTTAAGGTTCACAAAGTCAGAGCCTCCCCACACTTGCTTCCAGAACAGTTTGTTTGACTACGGACCCCTCTGGTGCTCCTGGGGTCCACAGTAATGGGTGGATAAAGCAAACATTTATCTCCAAGTAGTCACAACTTTTGTCCATGTCCTTGCCCTTTGGTGTCCAGGCAGCCTTTTAATCAGCTATGTAGCTAGAGCTACACCATTTCCCCCAAACTTTAACCTCTCACAGCCTTGGGAGGTGTTTGTGGTTAACTCCATGTTATGGGTGAGGTAACCTAACTCAAAGAGAAGCCTTGGAAATGTTCTAGAAATTTCCCTCTCGGTTCCTATAACTAACAGTGGTGTGCTTCATACTCTAAAGTTCACAAAGGAAGTAGGCTTTAGCCACAAGTTTTTTTTTTTTAATTCAAAAAAATGAATGAAACAGAAAAGAAAGAGAAGGATGGGATGTGGAGAGAAACACTTTTCCCAGCATCATTCCACTGGTGATTTGGAACCCTCTGCACACGCTGACACCATGGCCCACAGGGGGCCCTCTTTCAGAACTGGACTTTGCAAACTTCTTCTTCAAAGTCACTGAAATGATGCAGCCCTAATAATGATAACATGTTGTCACCTCTCTCTAGCTGAGGTGACTTCAGGCAGGTCACAGCCTTTTTTCTGAACATCAGTTTCCCCCAGAGGATTGTGACAAGTGATATAAATCCCCAATGTCTCCTAAGAGGGTTTTGCTGCTGTCCTTGATGCTGGTGAGGTCATACTCAAGGAGAGTTTGCCTGTGGCCAACGCCACTTGAGAAAACCCACTAGGCCCATTTTCTCATCAAATTCCTTCTTCCCTCCATCCCCTCCTCCTTCCCCCATCTCCTCTGCCCTCTGGAGTTCCAAGCCCATTTGAAATCCTTCTCAAGTTTACCTCCCGTATATCCCATTCCTAAGTTGTAGAGAATGATCCTGGAACAGACTATAATCTTTTAACAAGGAAATTGCTCTGCTCTTTTAAAATGGAGCCCGTGTGGCCTGGGGCTGTAGCTTTAGAGTGTCTTTGTAGTGTTTTCCTTGCCAGCCTCCTATATTCTGAGAGATGGGTTTTTCTTAAGCCTCTGCAAATTGTGTCTTTCTGTTCTTGGTTAATTTAAAACTCAAGCAAAACTGTGATCCACACACATCACCAGTACAGGCTCCTACGTACAATGAGACGGGGGAGGGGGTGCCAATGCTGACATGGAGTTTCTCTGAAGCACATTGGGCCTCATCAGTGTCACCTGGGAGGGGAGGCTGGGTCTGCAACATTAGCTGTGAGACCTGCTGCTATGTGCCTGCCCAGGAGCTTCCCTGCTGGGGTACCAAGCATGTAGCCTGTGGAACTCCTCAAGCAGAAGCAGAGATAGGGGTGTTAATTTTCCTAAGTCTAGAATGTGGGCCCAGCTAGTGAGAGCAGATGGGTGGGTTCTGAGGGCAGTATGGATGGTGAATGTTTTAAACTGAAATGTCCCAGCCCCTACTAAGATGGTCACACAAAGCCTTAATTAGGTTAGAATTTATACAAGTTCACACTAAAGGAAGAGCACTTTTTCTGAATGTTACCTTAGTGTGTTCACCCCATCTGGGACTTTTCAAACTCAGTGCAGAGTGCTGAAAGCAAATGTGTAAGCGTGTAAAAAGAGTTCCCATCCTCAAGACTGGACAATTCCCTGTGTTGGAGTGGGGGGTGGGAGGAACCCAAGAGAAACCGAAGAGAACACAGCTCCATGGGTCCAAAAGGCATCACACGCTGCGTCTCTCCCTCCAAGACAGAACTCAGCATGGATGGACTCGGGAAACCTCACAGACATCCTAAGTGGGGAATAGATGGTACCTGTGCCCACACCTCTGCCCAGAGCCAAGACAATGAGTGACCCAAGGAGAGATGATGATCCAGGCTAACAGTCTTGCCTGAGGGTGTGGGAACAGACAATGTTGTGTGTTCAAGGAGAAGACAGTAAATGCTAAATCTGAGGAAGTCAGGTAGTCCATGGTGTACCTGTTTTTCCAGTCAAGATCAAGGACAAGGTAGCCTCCTCTGAGGACAGTGGTAAAGGTAAGGTTCCTGGAGTAGACGTGAGACCTCAGAGGAAAATGAAGATGTTTCTGTAACTGCACAAAATGCAATCAGAAATAGGAGGTAGTCCGTAACTGGAAGAATGTATCAGAAGAATGTACGGACACCTATGCTACCAAAAGAGATGCACGCCAGCTCCCCAGTTGTGCTCTCCTCATAGTCTTTAGGTCCATGACACCTTCTCCATCTTACACAGAAGGGAAAAAACTTGCTTAACTTGAGTAGCCCACCCAGGTCAGCATACGGCTAGAATCCAACCTGCCCTGTTTTCTGCTATAACCATACCCAGCCTCCTACTTTTGAAGATTTCCATTAGCTAAATACACAACACCAGCTCTTCTCCAGGCCTTATCGGCCTCCATTTACCCCCAAATTAGCATCAAGACCTACTCTCAGACCAGGCTTAGGGGATTGCCTGTCATCCCAGAACTCGGGAGTCTCAGGCAGAAGGATAGGTTCAAAGCCAGCCTGGGCTTCATAGTGACTTCAAAGCAATCCCATGCGATATCACATGGCGTAGTTCTCAGAATTTCAAGACCTTGGCCTATCCCTGTTTTGGTTTTCCCTCTGTAAAATAGTCATTGTAGTCTTAAGTAGTAAAGAGCAATGCTTCATCACATCATCTGAAAAAAGGATTTGGGTAAGAGGAAAGGTCAGGAGGATGCAGGATCCCTCAAGCCTGGCAACCCAGAAAGATGTTTCCAGAACACAGACTTAGAGGTACAATTTGGAAAACCAAAATGGAGAACAAATGTGAGAAATGAAATTGGAGAGCAAGTGTGGGGGAGGCTCAAGCCTCAGTTTCTCACTGTAGGAACCCAAACCCCACCTTGCCAGGATGCATGGCCCTGGCACAGGCTAGAGCCTGGCAAGTATTCACCCCCTGGCATTGGTTCCTAGACACTATTAACTCATGAGTTGACTTCGAACTCTTGCCACTTCCTCTCTGGACCATTTGTGTTAACTGGGCCCCAGTATCATCCTCTTTAAGGAAACAGCAGTGACCTTTCTGTCCCAAGATCTTATGAGGACCTACAGGCACATGACTGTATGTACCAGGAGCTTGCAAAAACAAAAGACCCACTCGTACATGCACACAAATGAAAGTGAGGGGTAGCTCAAGATAGGGAGGGCAAATGTAATTTGACTCCCGACACTGTGGGAACAAGAGTTTGCCAGGAGGCCAGGGCACAATAGTGCACAAGAGATGAGGGCAAGGTCAAGGCTCTGAGTGGTCTGACTGACTGCTCCTTTCAACACTGAAAATCTGATCTTCCAGTCATGTAAGTGAGCATGGGTCTTCAACCTCTGCCTTGTGCATGAAACCATGAAGTCTTGAGTAAGCCTCCATCTCAGATGTTCTTGTTTAATTTGTGGACCAAACAGCTTAACTGACTCACCTGTTAACATGATTGACAATTATTTACTTTGGAGAGCCCTGAAAGGCACTTCTACATTGCAGAAATTGGAATTATCTCGAAGCCCATCATCCAGTATCAGGTTTCCCAATTCCCATTCTATAAAAGAGGCTGATTCCTCTGTGGCAAAAGTGGTAGGAGAGGAGCCCAGGACAGCTGCCGCAACCGGGAGACTCAGGTGAGACCTGCGCCTTCCTCTGCTCCACAGATGCTCTGGGTAGCAGGAGGCCATGCCCTTACTCTACACTCATGCTGGCAGACTGTACTGTCACTAACTAGGCACATTACAAGAGAAACAGGGATGGCCATGGTCAGGGGCAAGGACCAGCCATTCACTCACCTTTCCAAGAGAGGACACCATTGATGAGCAGTGAGCTCTCCACATGCCCTAAGTGAATGCTCTACAGAAGAAATTTCAACTTGAGGTTACCATCACAATTGAGATGCTGTCTCTGGTCATGTGACCTGTAGCTCTTGATGGTATCCACACACCATCATGGCCTGAACACAGACCCAAGAACCATCCTTTAGCAGAGGTGATGGCCAAGCAGTCCAGATCCTCAGCCTCTGCCATCCACACTGAAGAGCGGGGTGAGAATAATGGGTCAGGCCCCCCAGTGACATCCCCGGCCCCAGACTAAATCTGACAGTCACTTAACTCTACAGAAGCTTCTGGGTCAGGCATGCTTGACTTCAGCTCCTCTTGCTGTTGCAACTTGTCACCTTGCAGGAGACTGCCTTGAGTGACTAGGCCTCTGCTCCAACTGTGAAACAGGGGTTGTCCATGCCCACGTCTGAGGATGTGGTGACAATGAAGTTGGTGACTGAGTGTATCAGCCTGTGGCATGGGACAGACTACTCTATGGCAGTGTTAGCAATTGTTGCTAGTTATCACCTGCTGGGATTCAGGGGAGGGAAGAAACCCCACCACCCTGGGCAGGGCAGGCAGTGAGAGAACCCCAGCTGTGCACACCACAGCAGACTTGTCACTTTTTCTGCAGATACCGAGAGATGTTTCTAGTTGGGAGCCTGGTTGTCCTCTGTGGGCTGCTGGCCCAGAGCTCAGCCCAGCTGGCAGGCCTGCCCTTGCCCCTGGGCCAGGGCTTGCCCTTGCCCCTGGACCAGGGTCTGCCCTTGCCACTCGACCAGGGCCTACCTTTGGCTGTGACCCCAGCTCTGCTTTCAAATCCCACAGACCATCTTGCTGGAAGCTTCACAGATGGTGAGTCTATCTATGACAGTCTCTTTCAGGTATGTGAGCATGTGTGTCTGTGTTTACATGTGTGCTCTAGTATACCTAGCCTCCCAATACCAGGAAGGGAAGCATGTGTGAGAAAGAGGGGGCAGACCTGAGGCAGCAGATGTGGCCCCTAAGGACCCTTTCTCTTTTGCAGCTCTAAGTGGTGGCCTGCTGTCTGGGGGACTGCTGGGCATTTTGGAAAACATTCCACTCCTGGATATATTAAAGTCTGGAGGAGGCAATACTAATGGCCTGGTTGGGGGCCTACTTGGAAAACTGACATCATCTATCCCTTTCCTGAACAACATCCTGGAGTGAGTCGCCTCAAAGAGGGATTTGGTTCCTACTAACAACTGAAGATTTGCTGGCCCCAGGCAGCCTCCCTGCAGAGGGAGAGGGATGGGCTGAGCATGGAGCCCAGACTCAGTCCCCAGGCTTCTCTCCACTCTACCAGCAACAGTGGCCTTTTGACCTATAGCTGCCCCCAGTCCTAAGGCACACCCTGAGCCCCTGCATCTGTTATTATCTCCATGACAACCCTCCCATGTCAGCTCCAATATCCCTAGTTCCAGGATGGAAAAATGAGGCACAGAGATGTGCCTGTGCTCACATACCTGGGGTGATGCAGAGTCAGGAATCTAACTCAGAAAGGCCCCAAGCTGGGGCCTTTTTCACCCCCTGCTCATCCCATCTGGGGAATGTGAGCTGTTACTAGGCTACCCTCCTCAACCATTACCATCTAAGTGATGTGACTGAGTTCTGATGTGCTGCTTCCCATGAGCCACTCAAGAGCTTCCTAGGCATGAAGCCACAATGGATATCTTGTTGCCAGTGACCAGATATCCAAGCCCAAGTTTTTGGTAAGCCTGGACCAAAGTCATTGCCAGGATTCCCTGGCCTTTGCTTCCTGACCTGCAGACAGTCAGACTTGAGCTTGATTAGAACTGTCTGTGCTGGATAACCCGAGGTCAGGTCTCCTGGGCTTGGTTTCTCCATCTGTGAGATGGGGTTATACACACATAGAAAGGCTATGGAGGAGAGCAGGGAAAGGTAAGTACCTGGCACCATGGATGGCTCAGGGAAGGCTCCTTCCCATCATTTTGCATTCTTTCCAACTTCTGCTCTTTAGTCCCTGTGATAAGCACTGAGGGCTGATATGCTACTGCAGGTTATGACAGGACGTGCTGGGTTTTTCTAGTTGCCCATGTATCTTCTACGACAGTCCATTCATCCATCCACCCCTCCATCATCTTTCCCCCCTTTCATCTAACTACTTGTTCTTCTGTCCACTCTTCTGTGTATCCTCCCAACCTACAGAACCACCCACCTGCTTCATAAGGTTCTGTGTGGTCATATGCAGTCTCTTTCATCAATACCTCCTAGACCTGAGATTGACAGAAGGCCTTGTGTGTTAGGCAGAATTTAAGGAAAATGGATGTGGCTGTAAGACTATCTTCCTTGTCTGGAGTGGCCAGCTCTGCCTCTGAGATGGGTAAACTTGTGTGGAAGGGATTTTCCAGGTTTAACATTGAAGACACTGATTTTCATCCCTCTAATGTTGATCCCCTGAACAGCATAAAAATCACTGATCCCCAGCTGTTGGAACTTGGCCTTGTGCAGAGCCCTGACGGCCATCGTCTCTATGTCACCATCCCTCTAGGCTTCACACTCAAAGTGAATACGTGAGTAGGTCTCAACTGGGTGGGTAAGGGGGTGGCTCACAAAGGGAGAGTTTGGTGGCTATGGGAAGCTGCAAATGCCAAGGTCTCCAACATTAGCGCATTTGCTGTTATGTTGAGAAAACTTAGCAATGTGCTTTGACCTCTCTGAGCCTTGCTTTCTCCTGCTTGGGAGATGAGAACAACTATGAAACATACAGGGTGAAGTGAGGCTGGCCCTCCTGTCAACCCTCCACCTTGAAATGTGGGGAAAGACAGGGGGATGTTTCCTCCTTTTCTGGCAGGCCCCTGGTTGGAAGTCTTTTGAAATTGGCCGTGAAGCTGAACATCACTGCAGAAGTCTTAGCCGTGAAAGACAATCAGGGGAGGATCCACCTGGTCCTCGGTGACTGTACCCACTCCCCTGGCAGCCTGCAGATCACCTTGCTCAATGGGTGAGGCTAAAGAACTAGCTTCTTCCACCCAGAGACAGCAGTGTGGAATTACAGAACAATGGGTGGACAGATGAGTAAGGGGATAAAAAGGAAGATGGATGTGTGAGGATGGGTAGGTAGGCTGATGTATGTATATTTGGTGAGGGAAGAAAAAAATATACAGACATGGACACATGGATAAGTTAAAGAATGCAAAAAGGCTCACTTATTCCTTGTTAGACAAAATGGCCAATTTTTAATACTATGCAAAAGTACACACTGTGATTTTTTTTTAGCAATGCTGTGCACACTGTGATATTCTTAATGACATTTATACTTTTTGTCTGTTTTACCGTATTTCACGGACCTTCACAGATAATCTAAAATTATCTTGTCTAGTTATTACAAAGAGACAAATTTTATTACTGTTAATTGTTCAAAAGTAAGCTAGATGTTGTTAGAGAACATTATTGTTTATTATGTTGTCATATTTATAATAGGGTGGCCAATTTTATAATGGATTAGGCAATAAATAGTTTGAATTTAAGACTCACCTATCACAGGGGATGTGAGCTTCACTAGTATGTCTCCAATTTTGTCTCATGTTATTTATTTGTAATACAAAATTACACTGAAATTTCTGATACAATCCTCCTAAGAGGTAAATACATGTAACCCCTATTTGTATGCTTGTCCCAGTTGCCTGCCACATGGGAAGACCCAGTTATCCACAGTGTGTAGGACCTGGCCACACCATGGCTCACATTTGATAAATACATGTATTGGACTTTGCATGTATCATTTCATTGAGTCCCCATGACAACTACAAACTAAGCTCTGTTCATGCATTCATGGATTCCACAGTCTTGTACATTTACTATATCCCTGAAGTGTGCTTATTTTACACTCAGCTGTGTGTGCATGGCTGGGCTGTGTGTAACTCTCTTCATCCAAGACCCTTGCTGTTAAATCTGCCATGGACATGAATGTGCAAGGCCTAGTCTCAGTTAATGGGTGCCAAGATTGAGTGTGTATAGTGGCTGCTGAACTTCGCCAGAGCAACCCCAAGCCTCTAGGTCACATCCATGCCTTTTTCTTCCAGAGTCACTCCACTTCAAAGCGTCTTAGACAACCTCACAGGGATACTGACTAAAGTACTTCCTGACCTGGTGCAAGGCAAGGTAAGAGATCAAAGGGACAGTCCCCTGATCCAGGGGTCTTAGAGCTTCTTGGGCTGAGAAAGAGCCCTGGAGTGAACTAAGCTGAGCTAGTCTGTGTGAGAAATGAATCCATCCATCAGCCCATCTGTCCCATGGTCCAGCCATCTGTGTTACTTCTTTCCACCTCTCCAAACACATTTGTTGGCTTCTTCTGGCTTTAGAAAATATTCCTGAATGTGTTCCACCTGGGGCAAGCTGCTTCTCTGAGGGTCTTCTTGTAGGAGGTCCTGTGTCTAACTCCTCTCTCTGCCCTGGGTCAGGTATGTCCTCTGGTCAATGGGATTCTCAGCCGTTTGGATGTCACCCTGGTACATGACATTGCTGGTGAGTGCTGTTTCTAAGTCTTCTTCCACACCAAGGAAACCTGTTTCCCCCAAGAAGGTTTGTCCTTGAACATCATCCATCCTTCCTTGGGGATATTTTTGTCCCCATGAATGATCCAGATGAATTTGAGGTAAAGCCTGCCTCCCCTCTCAGCCTGACCTGAGAACAGCCGGGCTGTCTGGAGGAGGAGGCTGCACCTTCCCCACATGCTTGAGTGTGGTAAGCATAGCTGGTGATCAGAGCTCTTGCTGGATTCCTTCACCACCAGATCGTGAATCTCACCTGGCTTTTGTCTTGTTTTTGTTGTCCAGAATTACTGATCCATGGGCTAAAATTTGTCATCAAGGTCTAGGCCCCCCCAGGAAGAGAGAGGATTGGCCTTAGCTGAGCTGGTGAGTACTACCCCACATTCCTCAGTATTTGAGAATTGGCCTTTATCCTTCTAGAAGGAAGCAGAGATCTAGGAACAATGTCATCAGTATTCATCAGCTTTCCATCACTCTAATGAAAGGGCTAAGCTAATCAACTTATAAAGAGAAAAGGGTTTCTTTTGACTCACAGTTTTGCAGATCCAGTTCTTGACCAATTGTCCCATTGCTTTGGGACTGTGATAAGGCAGCATGTTATAGTGGAGGAAGACATTCATTTGTTCAGTGGCCAAGAGACAGCAAGAGGTAGAATTTTAGTCCCCCCGGAGGGCATGCCCCATCACCTAAAGACCATTCACTCCCCAGAGCCCCAGAGAGCCTATTCCTATTGGTTCCACTGGCTCACAGCATCGTTACCATAGGGATCACACCTTTAACAGCTGGGTCCTTAGGAGAATGTCTAAGATTCAAGTTGTAGCAATATCCAAAGAGAGACAAGCATCCACATGGACACACATAGGAATACACACAAAGGTCCACAGAAAAGCTGACAGAGGTAGAGAGACACAGGTGCCACATCAACACATCTGACCAAAGAAACATGCATCATCATGGACACACACACACTAACCAAATACATACATGATACAAATGCATGCATTCTCACACCACTATACGTACACACATGTGCAAACATGTACAGACTCACAACATTCAAGGTACAAAAACAATGTGTGCCACAAAGATCCAGGCTCCTTATGACTGAGACTTGAGTCTCAGCAGGCCTCTGTCCCTCAGAGGGCCAGTTTGATGTTAACAATACCAGTGAGAGTCGCTGACTTCACATGCCCTCCTGACAAAATTCTTCTCCTAACAGAGAAGAATTGCAGCTGCTCGGCCTCTTTCCCATTTCCCCATGGCTCTGGAAAATGATATGCCTGCTTCTCCCCCAATGAACCTGATCTCCTCCTTTCTCATCAGGACTGATTAATCCCACGATCGTTACTAAATAAAATAGCTCTTTATCTGCACTAATGTCCTGTGTTCTTCACCATTAGTTGAGGCTTTAGAAGCTAGAAAGTGCAGCTAGGCAGTCAAGGGCCATGCCCTGGAGCCTCCCATCCTGGGTCTGAGTGGTCTTGAAGAGCTGAGGGCTGGAGTTCCCGTGAATGGAAATTAGGGTGGCTACTGCTGTTCGTAGATGGTGTGGATGAACACTCAGCATCAATGCTCACACACAGGGTACCACACAGAAGTGAAGCAGCCTCATTAGATGTGCTCCAGAGCTGGGCATGAAAGGAGGGTGTGTAAGGGCATATATGGATCTGGTCCACATCTCAAGCTGGGTGCTGGAGGTAACCAGGCATGTGGAAAGATGAACTAATCATAGCAGGAAGAGAAGGGGACCACTCTGTGTGGAGTTGCTTGGGAAGCGCTGAATAAGACACCTGGGAAGCTAAAGGACATTGTCATACTGGCCTCTTTTCTGTTCCCCCCAGCAACAGAAGGACAGAAATGACAAAAAGAGCAGAAGGAAAGATGCTGTGGTCCAAGTATTGACTGCTCATGGAAAGCAATGAAGATGTTAATAGGAGTTGTCATTTTTTTAGGGGAAAAACTGGATTTGGAGGAAGTGAGAAGAGGAAGGGGAAAGTTGAGATTGTATAGAACATGAAAAACTGGATGCAAGAAAAGAATCTCTGAGAGATCAGACAATCAAAAACCCACAGTCTCAGTAAAAACAAATAATAATAATAATAAATAAACAAATAAAAAGCAGCCAGTGGACACCGGAGCCGGGGAGGGGGTAGAGCAACTCCAAGACCTCTTTTCCCAGAGCGATGGCAACATATGTCCTGCTCACTCGCTCCCTGCACCGCCCACCTTTAAGTTTGCCTTCATTTCACCTGTCTCAGAGTTCACAGACAAGGAATATACAATTTCTCACTCATGCACTGGCTGAGCAACAATCAAGGGTAGCACCTGCTGCCTCAAGTGATGGTAACATTTAAGACTAACAATGTTGTACCAAACAAATCATCTTCAAAGGAAAATCTGGGAAACAGGATGTAGGCTTTGAAAATAGGCAGCACATTCTTGGGATTCCGGGAGGCCATGCATACATATGATGGGGTTTTTGAGGTTCAGAATAGCCAGAGGAGGGCCTAGGCTCTCACCTCCGGCCCACCTGAAAGCCTGAGAGCAGGTGGCATAGACTAAGGAAGAGGTGTGTTAAATAAGATGATGGGAAGCCATTGCTCTGGGTTAAGCTCTAGGCCCCACAGGACAATCTGAACCAAATTGACTCACTCATTTGAAGCATATTAACCAGGCTAGAAACCGCCTGGGTACAGTAGGCCCCGTGGGCCTTCAGTTATGCAGAACTATCAGCATGTCAGAGCACATGTTTGAATCTTGGATCACATCTGGTTGTTCAGTCGCCCCTGGTGAGCTAGCTGTTTGATCATGGAGCTACTGGACCCTAGAGATTCTGGCTAGGCCTTTCCTGTATGCACCATTTCTATTTGGAGATGGAGTTGAGTTGAGTGTGTCCACTTGTTGTAGCCCACTGACAGCCTTCATGCCCTGGAAGTCTTGTGAACCAAAGCAGCCTTTCCATAGTGACAAGGTTGTTTGTGACATCCTGCCTCAGTAAGTACTGGATGAACAAAGGAAGCATCTCATTTCCCTCCAGCTACACGGCATCACTTCTGCTGACTAAGCCACTGGGGCTTGACTGGGAGGCAGTGGTTCACACATCCTCCTCCTATGCCTCAAATCTTTTACTATGAGCAGGCATATTCCCTAAGGTGCTGATGGTGTTGTGTTCCACAAGCAGGCAGTGTGGCAATGCTGTGATGCACTCAGCAATAAGAACCACAGTCACCTGCACATGAAACCACCCAAAGGGCCCCACCCACATACACATAAACACCACAGGCAGAAAAATACCCTGGGTCAGCAAATCAGCCTCAAATTGCCTGCCATCCATTTCCATTGTCTCTTTAGAGACCAGAAAGTCTTGTCTTAGAAGCATCAATATGCAAAGCCAAAATATGTACCCTCCTCTAGCTCCTTTTTATCCTAACAGGGGAACAAGCCACTAGTCACTTGGCCCCATCTCTGATAGCACCATTCAGCCTAAGACATTTGTATCTCCAATGGTTCTTTATCAAACAAACACCAGTCCGGCTGTGGTGTGAGGCTTCTCCGGCCTTTTGTCCATATCTGTTCTCCTTCCGAAAATGACCTATTTTGAGTCTCATTCTCATTAAGACTATAAGTCATTCATCAATTCGTGAAAACAGTTCTTGCTAGGAGGCCTCAAGCAACCCAGACCAGGGATGGTCCTACACAGGCCCCTCTGCCTGTTCCAGGCATCATCTGGGATGTGATGAACTTCACTGTCACCACACTATCTCTGTAAAGCAAAAGGATGGCCAGCACCTCAGCCATCCTATCACCCCTCACCCACTGATAGCCCCATCTTGGAGCAATGGCCTACCATTGGACAAGGCCATAGCTTGTTTCCTGCTTACTGTGCCAGACTGCTGAGCAGACAGAACATACTGGTCACCCACTCCAAGAGCAGAATGGAAAGACTTATACCCGTGGCTTTCTGCTAATGACTTCAAGAAAAACATAGCAGAGTTGGGTGCTGGCGAGGACAATCTTGACAGTTTCTAGTCACTGTGACAAATGTCCAAACACATCAATAAGTGACACTCTGGCTCACGGTTTCAGAGGTTTCAGTGCATCATAGTGGGAAGAAAGAGGGTGTGTGGCACAGCTCATCACCTAGTGACGGGGAAGCAGAGAAGGAGCAGGCCTGTGCTAACAGGTTTCCTTCTCTATCACCAGATGAGGGTCCATGGCCTATGGCATGATGCCATCCACACCATGGCAGCTCTCCTCCCACTTAGTGGTCTCTGCAATGCCCCTCACAGACATCCTTATATATGTGTGTACTTCATTAATCGGATAGGTGCTTCTCATCCAATCAAGAGGTCAGGATGACCCATCACAAATGCTTTACTTACACAGCGGGGTGGGGGGGGGAGCACACCAGCAGCCGATACCAGCAACTAACCAGGAACACCCTGCTGTGCCACAAAGACTCCTATCCCTCTCCTCAGTCTGCAAATCTGAAAACTGAGGGCATCTCTGAAGCCATTGATGTTTACGCTGTAGCAGAGTATAGGAGAATTAGAGCAGAGAGGTGCCCAGGTCAGGCACAGGCACTGTGATGTCTTTATCCCACAGCAAGTGAGGCAAGATGGAAAGATGGGGATGCTACTCCTCACTCTGGGGTTTGGTTAAAGACTCTCAGCAGCTGAGAGTAATTCCAGTGTGGATTTTTTTCTCTGTAGGTTGCTATAACGCAGAGACAAGCTGCCTTTTTTATAGAAATATTTTCAGGTGACAATTCTAGAATATGAATAAACCATGCTTAAGGCCTGGGTATATGCAACCTCAGATAGAGCCACGCCTCTCTCCCAGGTAATTTCTAAGAATCTCACAAAAAATACTATATACATGAAAATACAAGATACACTAACTTCTCGCATCTCTATGATCTAAGGTATTATTTATTCAACGTAATCTTGTCTGCTGCATCCCGGGAGCCATTCTGTTACCTCATTTAAATTCCTTGGCAGCCCTTTAAATACAAAAATTTCAAAAACCACCCAAGTTGTATAAATGACAGTTATAGTGAAGACAAAGCCTGACTCCGCTTTGAGAAGCCCACACCATGCCGAGTAAGCCTCACTCTTTTCCTGGACGCCCCCCCTCCCCTTCTCATAATGCACGTGTGTAATTCTATACTAAGCATCTCCTTTTTAACAAACACCAATTTCTGCTTCATATAAGCTCTACCTGGGATTCTTTTCTCTGGCAAAACCAAGGGTCCACTTTTACCCAAGTGCAGAATCTGAAGAGGGAAAGAACTCCTTAGGCAACACACAGCACAGGGTAGAATCTCCACCACCGTGGATAAAAGTGTGGAAGTGTCCCATGACCGAGGCTCATTCTTAACCTGGCCATCAAAGGGTCAAAACACTGTATGTAAGACTGCCACTCGTGGCACAACTAGGAAGCCACACACCACAAGGAAGAGAAGCTTACAGAATTAGCTCAGAAGCTAGACACCTAAAACAACTAGTAACAACAACAAAAAGAAAAGTCTGGAACGGAGGAACAATCAAATTTGCAAAGTGGTTGTATTATATTTTTAAGGGTGAGGCACAAAGACATGAAACAGGGGCTGGGAAATGGCTCAGTGGTCAAAAGCACTTACTGTTCTTTTATAGGACCTGCATTTGGTTCCCTGTGCTCACATGGTAGTTCACAACCATCTGTAACTCCACTACAATGGAGTCTGGTGTCTTCTTCTGGCCTCCATGAGCATTGGATGCACATGGTGCACATATATACATGCAGACAAAACATTCACACATGTAAAATATAGTGATAATTATTATATTTATAAAATGTATGAGACATACAAAGGAACAAGAAAATATGGCCCCTGCCTGTGAGAAGTACCCAAAGACTCTCAGATGTTGAAATTACTACACAAAGTCTTAAATTTTCTCCTTTTAAATATGTTCAATAAACACACATGTAAGAAGCTGTTTTAATTGCTTTTGTTAAAATCATGACCAAGGCAACTTATAAGAGGAAGCATTTACTTGGAGGCTTGCTTACAATTAATTGCACAGGGTGCAATTGATCACCGTGGCAGCAAGCAGACAAACACGGCACCTGAGCAGTGGCTGAGAGCTCACAACTGATCCAGAAGTTCCAGGAGACAGAAAGACTGGGCCTGTTGTGGGTTTTTGAAACCTCAAAGTCCCATCCCAGGGATACACCTCCTCCAGCAGGTCACACCTCCTAATCCTTCCCAAACAGGTCCACTCACTGGGGCCCAAACATTCAACCATGTGAGCCTGTAGAGGCCATTCTCATTCAAACCGCCATAGAAACCATGAGAAAAAAAAAACACACTACAGGAAAATATCAGAACAATGTTCCCCAAATAGAGAATATCAATGCTATAACAGGAGTCAACGAGAAAGAACCCCAGGCCCCTGGAGTTGAGAAGCACGGTGGACTAAGTGAAGCATTCTAAACTGTGGGTTCTGAGAGAAAAGACCGTCGGCCAATGACTCAGCATCCAGAGAAACTGTGTGTTAAGAGGAAAGAAGGGGCTTGAGGTGCAGCTCAGTGGTGGGGTGTTGGATAGCCTTCGTGAAGCCTGGCTCTAACCCCTGCAGCACACACAATAAAAACTGTAGGAGGACTTTTGCTTTACATTAGGTCTCTTGATGTGATCTGAAACTCGGAGAGACCCACCTGCCTTTGCCTCTCAAGTGTTGGGATGAAAGGGACGCTCCCCACACCTGACAAATCACTCCTGTCTACATGTTTGCAGCAGGCTTCTTTCAATTCATCGCTTCAGTCAGTCACAGCTGCCCTGTCTGAGGTGAGTGGGTGTTGGTGTTTTCCCAGGGGGGAAAAAAACCAGAAAGAATAAAAATAACCAAGAGACTGGCACTAACAAGCATGCCCTAAAGGGATCCTTTCTTCAGGCTTAAAGGGGAGAGAAGTAAACGAAAGGGGAAGCTATGGAGAGAAATAAAGAATACCTTACAGTATGAAAGATGGTAAGGCTGGGAGGTGGCTCAGTAGGTAAGGAAAACCTGGCTTGCCTTGCATGGACTGAAGCTTGTTCTCCAGAGCACAC